ACGTTCTCCTTACTTACCAGTTATTCATTTAGGCATTTGTTCTTCCCCTCCTGAATAAAATGATATAATTGATAAATCATTGAGTTAATCATTTTGTAAGTTGTGATGGTATTTTTTGGACTCTTAAACAAAATTATTCTCTTGATAGTTTTGACTTGTTTTTGTTTGTTAACTGCTGTTTTTGGCCGCAGTTCGCCTTGCGAATGTTTCACAAGAATGCTGGGTTGTGAACAAAACTTTCGCCCCAGGCGGGACTAGAACCCGCACCTCTCGCTTTCCGGGCAAGTGCGCTACCAGTTACGCTACCGGGGCACCATTTCATCCCAACTCAGCTTTCATGGTATACGTACCATAGCTTGTCAGCACTCACACGTATAACGTGAAGTGTTTTATCCACCACTGAAAAGCATTTTTGCTGTAGCAGTGCTTAGACCTTTAACCTGTTTGACTGATCATTTTCCTTCATTTGTGTTCTGATTTACAAGAAATCCGCTATTCTCACAATCACAACGAATTGACAATAATCAACGGTCCCTAAATCTACCTCTTTTGCCCTCTGCTAAGGTTTCCAAAGCAACAAAAGCTGTTAGTGGTACTCAGTTCAAAGGGAAAGCGCTCAATCGTCATAAAAAATTAGCAGAACATATCGTACAGAGACTGCTTTCCAATTTTTGACGAAAAATAACCGTTGAAGTACTTCGAAAATAAAGATTGCCATTACTTCTCAGTAGGAGATTGATTTATTGATAAACATACCTCAAGTGTTCATGGAGACCGGGTGTCCCCCAAGAGGCCCGTCGCGCGGCGAAGGAAGAGACGCAGACGCGGCAAAGGACGAGTCGCAGCGCATACTGTAGCGGTTAGGCGTCAATTTCAATAGAACGCATTACATACGTACAACACCATTCACTCCACGGCGTAGGCTCAAAATTCGACATCTGCTTATACACGCCGCTTTTTCCTTGTTTTTTTTTGCGCCATTACTTTCCTCCACATTCAGTTGTCCCCAGACTGCTCGTCTTTGTTACGTCTCTTCCATTGAAATGAGCACTACAGATATAATAGGTCACATCTAAAAAGGTAAATTCAGAAAGAAAGCTAGCTAAAAGCAGTTGAAGCGACTAAAATACCAACATGCACGACAAACGATAGGCTTTATGGTGAGGAAATGGAAGAGACGTAACAAAGACGAGCAGTCTGGGGCAACTGAATGTGGAGGAAAGTAATAGCGCAAAAAGCGGCGTGTATAAGCAGATATCGAATTTTGAGCCCACGCCGTGGAGTGAATGGTGTTGTACGTACTGTAATGCGTTCTATTGAAATTGACGCCTAACCGCTACAGTATGCGCTGCGACTCGTCCTTTGCCGCGTCTGCGTCTCTTCCTTCGCGCGACGGGCCTCTTGGGGAAATCTCATGGAAATCATACATATTCCAAAATTAGTTCTAAATTCAAACATAAGATGTTAATGCGACCAATTCACAGAATGTTGCGGCATCACTGCCTGCATTGGAGACATCGTTAGTATACAAAACGGTGGCAAGTCGGTCAAGTGAAAACGGTCAGGAGTCGCCCTCTAATAAATATTGTATATTGCGAGGCAGATTCGGGGCGTTCGCTCAGTATAGTGAAGATGAAGACGCATCGAGAAGGCACACGCATGAATCAGGGCGAAGGAATGTGAAAGAACTGCTTCCCAAACTAAACGCCTCACTAACGTATCGAGTGCAGCACGTCGCAAGTGAAAACGTGTCGCATTGTGACCTAACTAGGCGCTTCCAAAATAGTATGGAGGCAAATGCCCTTGAGCCACAGATAACTTTGTGAACAGGTAGTACGCTTAGCACGGTGTCTTCTCTGCGGTGTTCTATGTATTATAGTTTCGGACGAATAAAATTTTTTGAAATTTTGTTCAAAAATGGAAACATCTGACCAAATTGTCGATCGGGATCGACCGAATCATCATTATTTGCATGTGTCAAGCTATAACATTCCCATAGAAATGAAGGGCAACACAAAATATTCATCAGATCTGGAGAATTCATCCTTAATTCCTCAAAATATTTAAGAGCGACGTTATTATAGCATCCGGTCTCCACCCACCCTATTCAGATCTTTTCAGACTATGGCGTTTCGATTTCTATTCCTCTTTGCCTTGTACGTTTATGTGCAAGCTGATGATGCCAACAATGGAATTTCATGTTCTTTCTGCAAGGCTGGTTTGGCCACAGTGACCGCTACAATCCAGGCGAATCCCAGCCTTCAGGTACAGTTTTTTAGATACTGTCTTGTATGAAATTAATATGTAGTGACTGACCATTTATTCCCAATAGTTTATTCAGTATTGTCCTCACGCAGAGTCCCCTAAATGTATATCTCATTTTGAAATCATTGCACACTCCGCGCACAAACGACCAGACAGGTCTCAGGACTTCTGTCAACCGTGAGGCTTGGCGGTTCAGCGTTTTGTAGTGATGTCTGGGAGCTCTCACAAGTGCACACTATCACAGCATCTCCTCTTTCTTTATCTTCTTCAAAAGGCTTAGTCCCAATAAGACACAAAGTGTGTGCTTTTCCAGCTACGCTCTCACCCTTTGGTTGACAGAAGCCTTGTAACCGACCAGACATGTGCTCTCGCCTTCCGTTACCACCACACTTCAGCATAAGTCATACCAGAAGAATGCGCGATGCTGAGGTGGAGATGGTGGTACTGGGGGGCTACATGTAAACACAGGCGACCCTTAATAGGCAGGAAAGTACATAGTTATTAGCACACAAGCCGCAATTTGGACTTATGGATCATTCCAAGGGTTCACTGTGCATCATAACAATGAAGGAGCAGAAGGATCATTAGATATGGTGTTCTCCTTCACAATCTACAGCTCAGGCGCTTCAACGACGGCACGCACAACGTGTAACTTTCACATTTGAATGAATTTTTTGACGTAATTGTTTTGACGTAGAAGGGAAATGGCGACACCAGATGCTATCGCAACTAGAGGCTGCGAGTTCTCTTGTTTCCCTGTCACACAAAAATCATATGCATAAATTGTTCTCTTTCTCAACCAGCCTGATCAGTTTCGGACGGCCGCTAACACGGAATCGAATAAGGGTTATGAGCAAGGTATGAGTGAGGACAAGAACACTGTGAGGACACTCATTGTCAGAAACTAATTCATGCGCGGCAATTTTTATCCAATTCCTCTCAATAGAGCTCTCAATATAGCATTTTTGTATAGAAATCAGCAGACTACGCTCGCAAGTCAGTTCTGACCCTGCCATAGCCCGGACCTCTTCTGATCTCCACGTAGTCAAAAGAGTACATTGGAGTGCAGATGGCAGCCACGCAAAAGGGTGTGACTGCCTTCCCCATTCTTCGTCAGCATAGATGGCCTATTCGGACGAGTTTTCCCGTATTGCTGGCTCCACGCTGGCATTCGTGCTCCAATCGGTCGACGATTACTAGCAATGGCTATTTCAGCTATCATTTCCAGTTTTATATTTAAATCATATTTACAAGAATGTGGGGAGAAGGCACCAACGCAGCGCTGCCACGGTGGCGGCCAGCCAGCCCACTACGGGATTCGGGGCAAAGTGAACCGTGCGTTCGCACTATTCGAACGAGGGGGTCGCACTTGTAGTTGATTTTGGGAAGGGGGTCGCATTTAGGGGTAGAGTGGGATTAGTAATAGGGTGGGAGAAGAGAAAATTAGCCTTTTCATTGCACTTGTACCCCTCCCCCGCCCCCGCTCGACGCCTTTTCAAAGCGAAAGTGGGCGGAGTTGGGCTGTGTCGAGTGCTCTCAGAATCAAATACTATAGAAACAGTCATTCTGGCGGGTTTGGTGGGTGGTGGTCGGGGTAGGGAGAAGGGTGGTCGTATTAGGGGAGCCTCCTGAGTCTCATGGTGCTGGTGGTGGGAGATCGCATCGAGACTCCCCCTAAAGGAGGAGCGTCGCGAAATTTCTGAAAAAGTGCGAACGTCACAGTTGACCCTGATCCGGGTTGGCGCAGGAGTAGGTGTCAAATGCTTGCGGATGAAGCTTCAAACACATTTGGCGTGCACTTTCTGGCGAAGAAAACGGCACATTGAGCCACTGCGGGCAGCTCTATCTTTACATAATTACTGATTCATGATTTTAAATTGTATGATTTAGGGCCAGCTGGGCGATTCGATCTCAGTTGGTTGCGACCAAGTGCCCAATGAATTGCAGCGCAAAGCCTGCCGACTCACACTGGACGACAATTTCGAGCTTTTCTTCCAAGTGAGCTTGCTATCAGTTCAGCATTTTTTCTCTTGAATATCTTGGTCAACTCTTATTACATATTCTTCCCAATTGCAGAACTTCCTCCAACAACCAGGCACATCAGTCGAAGATTTCTGCAAGAATATGGGATATTGTTAACCGTTTATTCAAAGAAAGATCAGAATAAAGGATTTTTTTCTAAGGAATCAGAATTCAGAGTCCGGGGAGTGAAACAGCATATTCATCGAATAACTCATTAGCACTGCCCCATTAACCAGTATGAG